TAATGAGAGGTCATAATAACTGGTTTGTATTTTGGTTTGTAATGAGAGGTCATACTAACTGGTTTGTATTTTAGTTTGTAATGAGAGGTCATAATAACTGGTTTGTATTTTCGTTTGTAATGAGAGGTCATACTAACTGGTTTGTATTTTAGTTTGTAATGAGAGGTCATAATAACTGGTTTGTATTTTGGTTTGTAATGAGAGGTCATACTAACTGGTTTGTATTTTAGTTTGTAATGAGAGGTCATAATAATTGGTTTGTATTTTAGTTTGTAATGAGAGGTCATAATAGCTGGTTTGTATTTTGGTTTGTAATTAGAGGTCATAATAACTGGTTTGTATTTCAGTTCTTAATGCGAGGTCATAATAACTGGTTTGTATTTTGGTTTGTAATGAGAGGTCATAATAACTGGTTTTTATTTTGGTTTGTAATGCGAGGTCAAAATAACTGGTTTGTATTTCAGTTTGTAATGAGATTTCACAATAAATGGTTTTTATCTCAGTTTGTAAAAAAGGCCTTACAAATTAGTTTGTAATTTAATTTGTATTTCTTACTGAAATGAGAGGTAATGACAAAACCTGTTTGTATTTTAGTTTGGAATAGGAGGCCATAACAAAACCGGTTTATTTGATCTTCCGGAGGAAATCATTCATCAGATTGTTTCTTTCCTCTCCCTGCAAGGTTAGCTATCTCAACCATTACCAGTTTTAAATTTTAAAAGTAACCATACTTCCAAGTGATTTTATTTTATTTATATAAAAAAAACTTTTTTTAAACATATTTGAATCTCTAAAAAAATAAATTAGGAAATTCCTTTATTTCAGATATTACAATTCACAGTTTACTATGAATTTATTTAAGTAAGCTTTTTACATATATTTTTTTTGTGGCTATGTTCTGAATATAATTTTTTTCTCTTGAAACTCCACAAAAACATTATTTTTAATTTTTTATCAATTTGTTCTAGATCTTTGTCAGGTTGGAGCTACTTGCAGATATGCATATGGACTTACGCACAATGAACAGTTTTGGGCATTTCAGGTGAAATAGTAATTTTATACAATTTGAATGCACGTTTATTCCATTCAAGGGACTGTAAGCGTATTTTCAAGTGACCCTTCATAAAAAGTTGGCAATGCTTGATTCACAATAGTTTCCGTAAAAGCTTTGTCTGATTAAGTGAGTAAGCTGTGAATCTGACATTGCAATCTTTGTATGGAGGGTCACTTGGAATCACGCTTTCAGACCCTTTAACGAGAAAACCTTTTTTGTTGTCATTCACCTTTATTTCAAAGAGTAATTTTATTGATAAATTTATTTATTTCATTTGTTTTAGATGTTAAAGGATTGTAAACTGCTTTATATCCCTGAACCAAGTGGGCTTAAAGATTGTTGGCCCAACAAGAAGTTTCCAGTCGACGGTGTACTTTGTGACCCTAATCTCCAGGTAGGTTTACTTTCTCATCCTATTTCACAGGTATATGTATTCTGTGATTCTAATCTGAGATGTACTTATTAACCTGACCTGTATAGTTCAGAATCAGTGTACTCTGTGAACCTTAATTTATTTTTGGGATCCAATAACAAAAACAAGCCAAAGATGTATGTTGCTAAAATAGTTATTTTTAAATTAAAAAAACTGGAAAAGTTTTCGATTAATCTGCATCTAAATAAAACGTACATCCCAAGCATGGATTTACAGAAATTAATGTAAATATTGCAGGGGAATCGTGAACTGTTTATTATCTATTCCGCAGAATTCAGAAGAATGACACGAGAAAAATGGAACAAGAAGAAAAGGTGTGCCTTACCAATGCTTATTTAGTAATTTACATAATAAAGTATACCCAAAAAAATGAAGAAAAGAATGGTATCAATTATATTTTTATCCTATTCAGGAGTATTATTTCACGTTTAACCTATTTTTCTGGATTACGTTCTCGAATTTAATGATTCACAAAACTCTTTATAAATTCTCTGTTTCTCTCCATTTTTACATTAAAAACGAAGAAAATTATATATAATATGTTTATATTTAATGCATTACATTTTATACAGTAAAAAACCAGAAAACTGGGGAAAAAAGAAATATAATCTTTAGACTCAAGTTTTGATTTTAAATTGTCCAATGAGCATAAAACGCTTCAATTTTGACAGTGTGCAAAGACCATTTAACTTTACAAGTGATGATTTTAAAGCTAGTAATAAAAGTATTTACGTTGTAACTACATCAACTGCACTCTGACAATGCTTTAATGTCGTCTTCCCATTCCTCAGTTTTCTAGTTCTCTCTGTATAATAAATATATCTAAAATATTTAAATAATTTTTTTTACTTATTTTTAGAAAAGATCCATTCCGAACAATGTTGGAATCCAACAGTGTAGTCAAGGATATTTTACCAAGGTTGCTAGGTAAATAAAATAAAATAAAATTTAAATTGATAAAATATTGAGAAATAACTAAACTTATATTATTATTTTGTTTAGCATTTTACGTGAACTTGCCTCAAGAGGAGCAGTGCAGTGCTCGGCTTGTTCTATTCGGCCCTGGAATAGAATCAGAAAGGTTGGAGACAAAAAATTCTTGGCTTTGGGTGCCTTTTTTTCTAAAAAATTGCTTTAAGTTCCCCTGTAAATATTTTCTGCATTTTTGGTTGATTACTTGCCTTGATGTTCTTTCTGAATATAAAACTAAATTGTGTTTAGAACCCAAGATTTAGTTCATAAAATTGTCAACGCTCGTAGCAGTACATTCGATGCAGTCGAGTTCATTCGAGGCCTTCAGGTACATTTATCTTTTTTAATATTTTGAAATTACCTTATGGACCCCTTCCTCCGTTTACAAAACATTAAACTCCGTGATTATCTATCTATCTTAACCTAACCTAAATAAAACAGTCATTACTTTAATTTTATTTAAGGGGGGGGGGGCTAAAATTAACGCATTAATGCATCCCACCTCTTTTATTTTGTTATTATTTTTCAATGATTTGTAAGTGGGGGTTCCATGTCGGGTTCCTTTTCAGATCTTATAATTATTAATAATATTATTATAAAATAAAAGGAAACTGTATAGGAAAAGATACATTTGATTTAATTTTATATCAGTTCCTAAATTTAGCTCAAAGTTCTTAGTTTTTGTACATAAACTGTTCTCTTGTAGGGAGGAGTGGGTAGTGGAGTAAGAATAAACTACAAACACATGTACAACTTTGACCTTATGTGTCTTTACACAAATAGACAGAACGAACGCCTTTCAAACAAAGGTTAGATTTTCTTCCTGTCGACAGCAGGAGTTTTTTCACCAGCATAACATTCTACATGTAGGACTGATAACATGCCCATTTTTCATATAGTGGTTTACTTAAAATAACGATAGCTTCTTAAATTTGGAATTTAGGATCATTTAATTGAATGGATTTAAAGTAGGTTCTTGGGTGTTTGGAGATGGAGATGGGAGGTTGATTGTTTGGTTTGTCTGATGTTTGATCATAAAAGTGGGTGGCTGAATTTGCTCTGTTTGATAATTGAAGTGGGTTGTTAGATTTGCTCTGAGTTTGATAATGGAAGTGGGTAGTTAGATTTGCTATGTTTCATATTAAAATTGGGTAGTTGGATTTGCTCTGTGTTTTATAATCTAAGTGGGTTGTTAATGCTCTGTGTTTGATAATGGAAGTGGCTTGTGAGATTTGCTCTGTGTTTGATAATGGAAGTGGATTGTAAGATTTGCTCTGTGTTTGATAATGGAAGCGGGTTGGTGGATTTTCTCTGTGTTTGATAATGGAAGTGGGTTGGTGGATTTGCTCTATGTTTGATAATGGAAAGGGGTTGATGGATTTGCTCTCTGTTTGATCATAAAAGTGGGTCGTTAGATTTGCTCTGTGTTCGATAATCGATGTGGGTTGTTAGATTTGCTCTGTGTTTAATAATGGAAATGGGTTGATAGATTTGCGTTTTGTTTGATAATGGAAGTGGGTTGTCAGATTTTCTCTGTGTATGATAATGTAATTGGGTTGGTGGAATTGCGCTGTGTTTGATAATGGAAGTGGGTTGTTAGATTTATGCTGTGTCTGATAATGCAAGTGGGTTGGTGGATTTGCTCTGTGTTTGATATTTGAAGTGGGTTGGCGGATTTGCTCTGTGTTTGATAATGGAAGTGGGTTGTCAGATTTGCTCTGTGTTTTTGGGAACTTGAAAGTTGATTTGTAATTTTTGATTGGTTTCAATTTTAAAATTGTTTTAATTTAAACTATCGTTGTTGTTAATTTTTGATAAAAATTTGATTTAAGAACTTTAGAGATATTAATGATTTGTTTAGGGGAGACCCGGCTTAATCCAGTATCAAATATAACAATTATAAAAGACAGCAGTGGAAATCTAACATTAAGGTATTCCCCAACCCGTACTTTTTGGCCCCCCATGAGGTGACCTCCCCACCCCCCGCAGCCCCACCCTAATGATTTTTACTACTTTTTTTACACGTATGCATGTTTATAAAGTTATTAAAATTTGATTTATGTTAAAAATGATAAAAATGTTACTGGCAACTTCTGAATTTTTCATCCTCTCCATTTTTAGTTTATTTTTAATGAAGTTTTACTTGTACCCCAGCGTGGATGTAATATGTTTATATTAGCTTTATTTCCGGGAATAGTTTTTAACAAACATCCCGACATAACGTTTATATTTGAAGAATAGATTTTGTATTTATTGAAAGTTCTGATTACCGAGATGGTTTTAACTAATATTTACTGACGTAAGGTATTTCTTTGAGGCATAAATGATTTTATATGTATTGTGTAAGTTCTGATTCCGGAATTGTTTTTGATCAAACATCCCCTGACATAATGTTTTTATTTGCGAAATAGATTTTATATTTATTGTAAGTTCTGAATCCAGAAATGCTATTGAATAAACATCCCCTGAGTTGTCAGTTCTGATTTTCAAGATGGTTTTGAACTATAATCCCCTGACATAATCTATATATTTTCAGACCAGAGATAGTAAAACTGCTTCCAACCCTGCATGCTCTTGTATTTGCTCTCGACGTAACACTAGAGGAAAATACAGTATTATTAAATTAAATAATCTATTAGTCAGTGCTGGGAATTTTTGCGTTGGCTACTAATAATAATCAGGATCGCTTGGGCACTATACTGCATGAGCTCTTTTAATTTGAAGATCTAAAAACAAGACTTTTTTTAAAAAGAGATATTTTTGTCCCCAAGACTTGATCGGGTTGTTACGATCAAATCTCGGAATTTTTACTATTGCGAAAGTTTGGTGTTTTCTGGGTATTTATATTGATCTACCAGGGGTTGTAATCTGGCAGCCCATTCATCCATCCACGCTTCATTCATTCTGAGAAGAGGGTTGACAAGATTCCAGCTGCCTAATGGCTTCTTAGGCCTGAGAATAATAGAGAGCAGGAATCCTTCTGATATACTGGAATTAGGCCCGGTTGTCATAAAGATAGGAAACATCACACTCTTTCTGGCTGTGGACAAGTGTGCTGAACTTCAGTGATCTAACGAGAACTGGTGTCACACACCCTCCACCCCACCCCACAAACATCCACCCCACCTTACAAAAAATCTATACCTTCCATACCTTCATTTTAGTTATTCAGCCCCTGATTAAAGCTCCCTGAAACCCTGGGTACGATTAACATGTGGGATATCAAATAAAGCCATGGAAACAAAAAGGTTAATTTGTTATTATTTCCAACAAACGATTGATTAGAAATGAAATATACGGATACTGAATACGTATCATGAATATTTGTTTAAGGTCTTAAGTTAGAATACATAAAATCCTTTAGGGGAAGATCCAAAGAAGATAAAAAAGTATTAGCTATGGAACAATTATCAAATTATGTGAAATCTTTTGTTTATTTTATTTATATCTTTCCCATAAATAGGCAAGGCAAAAATATATGTTGATTATAGAATTTATACAAAAAGCCTTTCTTGTTGTTTTCCTCAAACATTTTTTTCTTTGATTTGTTTTACTCGTGGAAATTATACTGTTGGATAACTAGGAGGAAGACGTGATGAACTCCCTTGCATTGATGAGGAAGGAACTCGATATACTTCTTCAGGTTGGTTGGTTCGTTCGTTGGTTGACTGGTTGGTTAGTTGGTTGGTTGGTTTTGTTTATACGATTTGCTGGTTATTTGAATTGTTGGCTGGTTGGTTAGATTGCCTAGTGTACGTTGGTTGATTGGATAAATGGCTTTTTCATGTTTGGTGGGTCCGGCGGTTGGTTGGTGGGTTGGTTGATTTGTTGAATGATTGAACGGATTAATTATTGGTTGAACTTTTGGTTTATGGGTTTGTTAGATGGTTGATTTGATCTAGAGAGGATGGTTCAAACTTGAAATTAAGAGAGATTGATCTTTAGGGTTTAAGTACGTTCAACATGACTCTACCCCTGGTTGTGATGGCATGTAGTGAAGGTCAGCGAAGTGCCTGTATACCTGTACAAGATATTATTACAGGGCTTCAGCTGGAACAATTCAACTTGTAAGTTAGTATTTATCTTCTCTAACATTTTAATGACAAGAATATCTCGAGATGTTACTCAAACATTACAAGCTGGGAGACCTCACTTCATTTTTGATTTAGTACTTTACTTCAAGTTTGGGGGTGGAGAGTAGGACTTTACATATAGTCTGTTTCCTATGATTTGATTTGGACCTATTTCCGGTTATTGGATATATATTATATATTCTATAGCTGTCTAAAAGTCTATAACTTACGGAATCAAAAAAATTGCGTGGGAAATCCTTGCACATGTTAAACAAAGACTTTGCGCAGTGTACATACTTACAGGATTACGTATTAAGTTGGATTCCCCCCCCCCCTCCCAACCCCCTCCGTAGAGAAAATAAGGGTTGAAACATTTTGATAAATTTAGTTTGTCCAATGAGTAAAATTTTATTTTCTCTGTAGTGCATGGGGCGTGTGGAAAGTTGAAGTGGAGAATATGCGAGGAGCAGAAAAAGGTTTAATTTTTAACATTTTGAAGTTTTTTCATAAACTGATTTGAATTTTACATTTAAAAAAGAATTTTCATAATGAAATATTTTGAAGTTTATTTTTTTTTAAATAAGTTAAAGATAAGTTGAAGAAAAGTAACATATAAGTAGTAGTACACTGACTTGTTTACTTTATTTTACTGCACAGTACATTGTATAAGATATGTAGTACACATTACACTGTATGATAAATCACACAGTAACTTATCTATTTACTTTATTGGACTGCACAATATACTGTACGATTATTGATTAAGTACAGATTAAGCTGATTTATTTACTTCACATTTTTTTAGAGATATTGGCCTGAGGCTGTTCAAATTTTTTTTTTTTTTATAACTAACACATGCCACTCACTTTAGGCCTAACGCGGGGCTTTTATATCTACTGCCTGAGTCATCAGACATACTGCCTGAATGCCTTATTTTACCTTAACCCGACTATCTTGACCTACTTCCGGTCATTGGATTTCGACTATTTATAGCTCTTTGGAATGCTTTAACCAAAAAGAAGCAGAATGCACAATTTTTACGAGGAAATGTTGCGCATAGATTTTTGTACAGATGGCTTTAAATAGAATTTGCACATTTTCAGTTTTCCTTGATTACAAATTCAGTTTTTGAAAGTTTTGCAAAAAAATTTGCTTATTTGGATTTGCCGTGGTAAGGGCTTTTCAAAAATGAATAATGTATCATATTAGGCTTTTAGGGCGCTTCGCGCCCATCTTTTACTTCAATTGTGAACATGTTTTCTTTGTGTACATTGTAAAAGAAAACAAAAAAAGTTAGCGGATTTCATTAAAAAATTCGTGGATTTTCAAAAAATTCTAAAATTTAATGAAAATCGATTTTTTATGAGGCAAATTTTTTTAATTTTGATCATTCATAAACCTTCCCTGGGGCCACGTGAGGTCCCACAACAATTTTGGGGCTGATAAGTTTATTGGATACAAACAAACAGACAAGCAAAGTATATATATACTAGGCTTTTAGGTCGCTTCGCGCCTATCTTCTCTTCAACTTTTAATTTTTGTTTTATCTGTGAGCAACTTCTCTATTACAGTTAAAAGAAAAAAAGTTTGCAGATTTCATAATATTTTTTGTGCATTTTCAAAATTTTACAAAATAAAAAAAAACTTTTAAACACAAACTTTTAAAATTTTGATCATTCATAAACCTTCCTTGGGGTCAAGTGAGGTCAAACTTTTTTTTTGCAGATTATTAAAGTACATCCCAAGGGCTTTCCAAAATGTATCAAACGTGAATCACAGTAAGGAAATAGACTATTTTGGTAAACCAGACGTCAGTCTGAATAGAGTAAAAAAAAACATATTCAGCTGATTTTTTTACTTCATTGAACTGCATACTTTAATACACACGTACTCTGACTTATTTTTATAATTGTATTGCACAGAACACTGTAGAATAAAGTACACAGTAAACTACTGCAGGGTTTGATTGGGTTCTACATCATCTGAGAAAGAAGAGAAAGGATTGGAATTATCATACCTTGCAAGGTTACATTATGAATTTTTTTTTTTTTTTTTTGAACTAAAAAATAATTTTGTAAAATAGAAAATATTTTCTATTTGCATTTACAAGACCCAAGATATAAATTTTGAATATTAATTTCAGGGCAGTATTCATATCCTCACTAAGAGGATACAATGTTCCATAGAGGAAGAAATATGAAGAACTCTCAGTAATTACGTTAAAGACGAGTTTTTCTGAGATCTAGTCCACAGTGTCTTCATAAATTTAATCTAAGAATACCTTCTACAAAACAAAAATGCAGTATTTTCCACCCAAAGAATGGCTAATTTCTAAAAGCAGTTGATTTGAATAATTAGTTGCCGTTTTAACTAGATATCCTTGTCTGGCACTTCTGCTAAGGTACTTTGAAAATATATAAATATATAAATTTGCAATTTGCATGAATCTTGACAAAAAAAATGAGATTAAAATCTTTCATTTTGGTTTTAAGTTATTATTATTTGAAAATATGATTAATCCTGCAAAATCAGCTGATGAGGCCCGTAGCTCAGAACTTTTAAATTGACGAAAAAAACCTGTTCGCCGCAGAATTTTACTCAAACTTCATTTACTTGTCTCGCAACGAAAAATCATAAATGTTTTAATAAGATAAATTTTGATAATTACAAATCAAACAAGTTAAACCACAGAATTCAAAAGTTTCAGTTTGGGGTCAAGTTTTAAAAAAAAAGAATTTGATGTTTCTTTTAAAATATTTAGTTTTTTGACATATAATTTAATAAGTAATTCCAAAAAAAGTTTATTATACGATGCAACTCACAAATTTTAAAGATTTTTAAAGTAACATTTTATTTTTATTTTGCACAAAAACATAGCATTTTTATCAAACTTGCTTACAGAAACAATCCCAACGATCTCAGAATTTTTTTTATTATTTTTTAAAATGTATAGATTTAAGTTAACATTTGACTGGATACATTGTATAGTGTATAGTGTACATTTTACACTGTGCAACATACACTACACTGCACATTAAATATACGTAACTATAGTTACAGTATTCCATTTCCTGACTTTGCAAAATAAACTAATTCTTAGTTCTTTGTTTATATTCAAAATGTTAATCCAATTATTGTATAATACCATGATAAACCATTATACAAGACCAGTTCGGTTTATCCTCCCTAGTGTGCCTTGTTATTGCTCAGTCTGTGATCAATAAACATTTGTTATTATTGAATTATTATTGACTCAGGAGTCCGGGGTGTATATTTTCTCAAAAAAAATCATTATTCTTCCCCCCCCCCCTTTTTGAAAATATTTTTTTTCTCTCCAAAGTTATAAAAGTTTGCTGAATTGGGGAAGATCAGGGGGATGATAGTTCTCTAGTACGTTTTTTGGGACACCATTTATAAGAGAAATATTTTGAGAGTTTGCAATAAAATCAAAATATTATAAAAAAAATAAACTGATAAAACTAAGAAAGTCTCAAATATGGTGTTTTCAAAAAAAAAATAGGATGCAGAATGAGGTTAAAATTTTATTTAGAAGATGAAATAACACAAAAATTTAAAAATATATTTCAAACACGTTAAGAATATTAACATAATAATACATTCTTAATACATTTTTTTACAAATTATATCTAGGGTATTTAAACAGCTTACAATCTAAAAATCTCATAGCTTTAAGCCCTATAGTGGTTTAGTTTTTATGTCATTCTCAAAATTATACAGACTATTGAAACTAAAGATTTCTAGTCTTAACATTATTAAAGTCTATTGCCAAAAGCCAAAAAAAAACTCTGATTTTACTATAGATTTCTCATAAAAGAACGCAAGAGAAGATTATATGAGGAAGATTGATGGATAGAACAACAGAAGAATAACGGGTAGAGAAGAGTAGATTATATGAGGAAGATTGATGGATGGAAGAAAAGAAGAAAGAAACAAAGAAGAATAACTGATAGAGAAGAGAAGAATATATAAGGAAGATTGATGGATAGAAGAACAGAAGAATAAAAAGAAGAAAGAATCAAAGAAGAATAACGGTTAGAGAAGAGAAGATTAATGAGGAATATTAATGGATAGAAGATCAGAAGAATAAGAATAAGAAAAAAGACTATCGAGTAAAGAAGAGAAGATTATATGAGGAAGATTGATGGATAGAAGAACGGAAGAATAAAAAGAACGAAGAAGCAAAGAAGGATATCGAGTAAAGAAGAGAAGATTATATGAGGAAGATTGATGGATAGAAGAACGGAAGAATAAAAAGAACGAAGAAGCAAAGAAGGATAACGGGTAGAGAAGAGAAGATTATATGAGGAAGATTGATGGATAGAAGAAAATAAGAATAAAAAGAACCAAGAAGCAAAGAAGGATAACGGGTAGAGAAGAGAAGATTATATGAGGAAGATTGAGGGATAGAAGAACGGAAGAATAAAAAAAACGAAGAAGCAAAGAAGAATAACGAGTAGAGAAGAGAAGATTATATGAGGAAGATTGATGGATAAAAGAACAGAAGAATAAAAAGAAGAAAGAATCAAAAAAGAATAACGGTTAGAGAAGAGAAGATTAATGAGGAATATTAATGGATAGAAGATCAGAAGAATAAGAAGAAGAAAAAAGACTATCGAGTAAATAAGAGAAGATTATATGAGGAAGATTGATGGATAGAAGATCAGAAGAATAAGAAGAAGAAAAAAGACTATCGAGTAAAGAAGAGAAGATTATATGAGGAAGATTGATGGATAGAAGAAAAGAAGAATAAAAAGAACGAAGAAGCAAAGAAGAATAACAGGTAGAGAAAAGAAGATTATATGAGGAAGATTGATGGATAGAAGAAAAGAAGAATAAAAAGAACCAAGAAGCAAAGAAGGATAACGGGTAGAGAAGAGAAGATTATATGAGGAAGATTGATGAATAGAAGAAAAGAAGAATAAAAGAACCAAGAAGCAAAGAAGGATAACGGGTAGAGAAGAGAAGATTATATTAGGAAGATTGATGGATAGAAGAAAAGAAGAATAAAAAGAACCAAGAAGCAAAGAAGGATAACGGGTAGAGAAGAGAAGAAAGCATTTCCCTCGGATACGCATACAAAATGTATTTTCTCCTGACAGTTCAACCAATTCCTTAATTAAACAAAAAGATAATTTCCAAAACATGAATATTAAATTTATAGATTATATAGATTACTAAAAGTTCATTAGATGATAGATAATTATTAGATTACTAGTAAATCATTAGATTTGTAGATTAATATTAGATTATTGGAAATTAAATAAAAAATTATTGAATCATTTGAAAATCATTTGATAATAGATAATTATTAGATTACTAGATTATTGTAAGATACTAGATTATAAAAAGATAATAGAATGATATTAGATTACTAGAATATTGTAAGATGATAGATTTATATTAGATTACTAGATTATAAAAAGATAATAGAATAATATTAGATTACCAGAATATTATAAGATAATAGATTAATATTAGATTACTAGAATATTATAAGATAATAGATTAATATTAGATTACTAGAATATTATAAGATAATATATTAATATTAGATTACTAGAATATTATAAGATAATAGATTAATATTAGATTACTAGAATATTATAAGATAATAGATTAATATTAGATTATTAGATTATTATAAGATAATAGATTAATATTAGATTACTAGAAAATCATTAGTTAATAAGATAAATATTAGGTTACTAGTAAATCATTAGTTTCAAAGATAAATATTAGATTACTAGAATATTATAAGATAATAGATTAATATTAGATTACTAGAATATTATAAGATAATAGATTAATATTAGATTTTTTGAAAAATGATTAGATAAATAAAAAAAATAATGGATTAATATTAGATTATTAGAAAATCATTAGATAAGAAATTATTAGTTTAGATTTTTAGATTTCTAAATGTTTCATTATTAGAGAAAAATTAGATAATAAATCTTTGAATAATTGCGGTCTCTTGAATTTACGCTTATATATTAAATAATACAAGATTAGATAATAATAAGATAATAGATTAATATTAGATTTTTAGAAAATCATTAGTTAATAAGATAAATATTAGGTTACTAGTAAATCATTAGTTTCAAAGATAAATATTAGATTATTAGATAATCATTAGTTTCAAAGATAAATATTAGATTATTAGATAATCATTAGATAAGACATTTCTAAATATTTAATTATTAGAGAAAAATTGGATAAAAGATCTTTTGAAAATAGGGCGGTTTTTTGAATTTACGTTTATAGTCCCTTTCATACTTAAAGTTTTTAATTATTTTACTTGTTATTTGACCAAGCAGCCAGGCTTCCACACAAATCCTCTAAATAATTCTTTTGTTAAAAGTAAACTTATAAAAAGGATTGAAAACATTAGCACACAAAAAAAGTATTGAATTCTAAATTATTATATTTTTGTATGGAACGAAATTAACTTCAAATAGAAAAGTAAAAAATTTAAACTTTGGACATTCTTATAAAGCAATTTTTACGAATTTAATCTATTTTTGTAAAAAAACAAACTAAATTTTTCAGAAAAAATATGCCCATTGTCCTGTCAACTGACCTGTAGCTCGCTGGTCAACCCAGGAGAGCATTTGATCACACAGCTTCAACTTAAATTGATAGATAAATAGACTATTAATTACATAGATAAATAGACCATTACATTGATGAATAAATAAATTAATATATGGACAATAAGCAAATTCTTTTAATCTTCTAGGTCGTTAAATTTGATTTCTCAGATTCTAGTTACTAGATCTGAAGCCGAACTTAATGAATTTAAGCTACAGCGGTGAACAACCTATTGCCGGTTCAAATTTGAACCACCGGCTCAATGTTCAAGGTTAAGGAAGAATTTGAATATTCAAGTAATGAATTATGTAACCATGCTAGTAATATCTGATTTATCTATGTTTGTTTATCTATCTTATCATGTTTCATGTTGACCCTGACTGGCCATTACGGTCAGTTGAATTTCACCTGTATATAAAATAAATTAGTTCAATACGATTAGTCGTTAAATACGGACGTATACATAGCCTTGAGTTGTGGCTAGAGATAGAGTCAGCTAGATTCTAATTAGACTTTGAGTAGAGTTATCGTTTAAGTATCTCGCATCTAGATTTCTTACATTCAAAACAAGATTCCCTAGCTCAGAATTTTCAATTGTCAAATTGATTTTCAGAAATGAGAAAATACCTGTTTAAATTATTTATAAATATATTTGTACATTTAAGTAATTTTCTAAATGTAAAAATCCAAAATCGTTTAAGTAACAGGATTGTTATTCAAATGTTTTCAAATAGAAATTCAATGTTGTAAGATTGTTTAAATATTAGAATAACGGTTCAAATATAGGGATACCCACTAGAGATGACTGAGACTTCACAGACGGCTATACTGTGTTCATTTAATGTCAAAAATCAAATTTAACCTTCAGTACGGCCAGAAAAAAAGTTTTTCAAGGGACTGACCGGCTATGTAAGGTAGTTAAACTGAGTATGCAGTGGTGTGGACAAATTCTTTAGGATTTATTTGAGGCATTTAAAACTTTTCCACGATGTATAATTACTGAGTTGGAGTGCATAGTCTACGTTAAAAATCATGAATTTGGGTGGGTACGTTTTCAGAATCGGATTTTTAAAATTATAAGATATCGACGACGAAAAATAAAGTTAAAAATTATACAGTAAACTAATTAAATGGTTGGGAACATATTTGTCAATAAATCAATGCTACAATCAATTATTTCGTTTTCATCATTATATTGAATTTCTTTTTTTCTATGAATTTATTCGTAGATTTCTACAAATTCTTTAAATGTCGTCTTTTCAATAATAATTCCAGAAAATCTTTGTGAATAATGAGAAGCTACAAGGTGTTCCAAAAAACATGGGAATTCAGTGACGAATTGATATAGTCTTTGTTATGAATAAGCATTGTAAATTTCGAAAGCCACAATATTATTATGTCTTCTAGAGTTTGTTTTATGAAAAGGGTAAAAGGCTGCAAAGATGTGTCTATAAGATGAAAAGTGAATACGGACAAGTTTACTCTGTTTGTACACTGAAATTTTCTTGTTTTACTAAGTACAACTGTATTCAGTCAAAACATAAACAAACAACATGTGAACATAGCAGATTACAGCTTTCTCAGTAGGTATCCCCATACTAAATCAAAGAATTATTCGAAAAGACGATATTGAATTCGTCACTGAATTCCCATGCTTATTGGGACACCCTGTAGAATAATGAGAAAATAGAAACTAATACTTGAAAAAGATTACGTATTTTCGATGATAAGATTAATTTTTATTTTCTCAACCTGTTCCTAAACACCTAATTAGTTTACTGTAGAATTATGTTTATATTTTTTGTCGTCGTTATTTAATAATTTAAAAAAACTATTTTAAAACGTATCCACCTGACAGTACGATTTTAACAGTCGACTTTGCGCTCAAACTCAGGATTTACAGATCTCTAAAAAGTTTTATGTTTCTCAAATGAATCCTAAAAGAATTTGTCCACTACACTGAATACTTAGTTCAACCACCTTACATAGCCGGTCTGTCCCTTTCATGTCGTCATTGAAAAATCATCTAATCATCTAACCCTGTAAAAACTAAGTACATTGAAGTGCATCCTATTCGTATCGGAATATTTTCTATCATATTTTGACGTCTAAAATCAAAAATGGCAAAATAGATCTTATGTACGTAAAACAATATGATAAATAGCCCAACCAAAAAGTACTAAATAGAAAATAAGAAAAAATCTTGGAACTTTAACCAGTTTACGGTTCTGTATTTTTGTATTAAATCCTAAAATAAAACCTGTTCTGTATTTTTGTATTAAATCCTAAAATAAAGCCTGTTCTGTATTTTTGTAATAAATCCTATGAAACCTGTTCTGTATTTTTGTAATAAATCCTAAAATGAAACCTGTTCTGTATTTCTGTAGTAAATCCTAAAATGAAACCTGTTCTGTATTTTTGTAATAAATCCTAATATAAAACCTGTTCTGCATTTTTGTATTAAATCCTAAGATGAAACCTGTTCTGCATTTTTGTAATAAATCCTAAAAAAAAACCTGTTCTATATTTTTGTAATAAATCCTAAAATGAAACCTGTTCCGGATTCATTTTACAAACTTGCGTTGGTCCAGTGTCAACCACAGCAGCCTAAACAAAGGGTCTGTAGTTGTTATTTGTCTAAACTGTTAATCTGAGAAATGAATCTAGATCTCAAACCGATTTATTAATTAAACATAAACTTTCTAGTCCGCTTGAAAGATATTTTTTTTTACAAACTTATTCACTCTCAGCATGAAATCTTTATTTTTTGAAGATACAAGTTTCAAATTCATTGTCGAAAAATAAGAACTTAATCCGCCACAAATCTATTTAGGAAGAAATATTCCCACAACCTTGAATTATGAAAGTTTTAAATATTCCCTTTGTAAGCACTGAATTTTGTTTTGTTAAACTTAAACAGGGTTATCCACAAAGAATGAGAATTCATAGACGATTGTACGGAATTTATTCTCTCCGTTTCCTTATTTTTTTTTAACTCCCTGCAACAGTAAACATGTTTCGCTGCTCTTAACAGGCTATATTAAAACAGAAAATTAAATTCAACCTAGAAATCGTAATATTTTGTAAGTTTCAGATCGTCTTTACAGCTTCATCCTTTGTGGGTAACCGTGTAAGTAGATTACTTACTATACTTACTTAAAAATGTATTTTGAATCTTGCAGGTTTCTTTAATTCCATAAAAAATATAAATTAACCAACCTTGCTTTTAATGCATGCCAGATATTTGTAGCATTCAAGAACTACAGGTTTTCTGTACATATCTTGTACATGCAGACCGGTTAACAAACCCTGAATAATACAGGTTTCTGTACATATCCTGTACATGCAGACCAGTTAACAAACCCTGAATAATACAGGTTTTCTGTACATATCTTGTACATGCAGACCAGTTAACAAACCCTGAATAATACAGGTTTTCTGTACATATCTTGTACATGCAGACCAGTTAACAAACCCTGAATAATACAGGTCTTTTGAACATATCCTGTACATGTAGACCAGTTAACAAACCCTGAATAATATAGGTTTTCTGTACATATCTTGTACATGAAGACCAGTTAACAAACCCTGAATAATACATGTTTTCTGTACATATCTTGTACATGCAGACCAGTTAACAAACCCTGAATAATAAATGTTTTCTGTACATATCTTGTACATGCAGACCAGTTAGTAAACTCATTTTTCAATATAAAGCGAAAATAATATTGATAATTTTTAATACCAACAAAAAGTTTGTCCAAAAATATTTTTTGTCAAAGTTATGTACTTAATTTTCCCCCAGACCTTCCTGTTTATATTTTCAATCCTCCATTAATTTTTTTGATAAATCAGTTTAAGATTGACAAAACAAAATTTGGGGATTTTGCTTTGAAATACCACTTCATGATATGAAATGTACAGCATGGGATCCATTAAACTGCGGAATAGAAAAACGACACTAAAGTCATCTTGTTTATATTTGATTTTGTTTTAAAGTGAAATGATTTACCAGTGACTTATTAAGTTGAATATGGGTCTGTGTACACTGCACTATTGTTCATTAGACTATTCAAAGCCATAACTTTAAAGTCTACTTCCTCTTCCACAGTTGGATTTGCCCCCCTTTTAATCTTGTAACCTGGGTAAAAAATGAGATTGCATTAATTTCACCATCTTCGATAACATTCAGCAGACTTTCACCTCTACACTCACACATTCTCTTAGAGTCCTAATATATCAATCATTAAAGGGACTGTAAACGTAATTTCTAGTGACCCTTCATGCAAAGATGACATTACCCAATTTATATAGGTACCCTTCAAACATTGCTCTGCTCAAAAGTATGGAAGATTCTGCCGTTTTTCAAACTCGAAAACTGTTTCTTCTGATAATTTCTCCATTGCTTTCTATCAGCAAAGAAAGCGCAAGTCACTTTTGAAAAGAACCCGCAAATGAAACAAAAAACATAGATATCTAATTCATACTTTATTAGACAAAGGTTTTAAGGGTACGTTAAGGTCGATAATTGGCATGACAGGATCAGTTGAAATTACGCTTACACAGTCCCTAAACAAATCGAATCGAAAAACACGTAATTCTAAAACCCTTTAGTGAAAAACTTTCGACGAAGCCCCTGCATATAATCCTTTATCAAATTAACAATGAGGAAGATTTCGTCCGTTTACTATCTAAACTGTGCTGAATTCTGTAATTTTTCTTCCTTGTCTCTGAACCATTGAAGACAAACAACATTTAAAATGATAAACTTTAAGCTAGGTTACCTTAGGTTTAAAGAGTAAGATTTTGTAACTCACTATAAATGAATTTTTCAGCTTTACGAAAATTTGTATCCAAAAGCATTTGATTTTTGTGAAATTTTAAAAACTGGGCTTTTAAGGCGCTTCGCGCCCATTTTCTATTTCAATTGTGAACATTTTGTCTTTGTGTACGTTATAAAACAAACAAAAAACAAAAATTTCTTGAATTTTCAAAATTCTCAAAAATCGAATTTTTTAAAGACAAATTTTTGAAAGCCGATCTGAAGTATAATCTACCATGATGTGCAATTCTAATTCATTATCTGTATTAATAATATTATTATCTTAACTATTTGTATGTTGACCCAGCCGGGCTAGCCCGGTCAGTTCATTTTTACCTGTTTATAAATAAAGTAGTTGAATATCATTTGTTGATTAGAACGGACGTATACAGAGCCTTGAGTGTTGGCGAGAGATAGAGAGCCTTAAGATTTGGCTAGAGATTTAATTAAATATGATCTCGTTAGACTTTGAGTAAAGTAATCGTTAGAGTATTAGCATCTAGATTGGTTACAGATCATCCATAAACCTTCTCTTGGCAATTATTGGACACAAACAAACACCCAGACAGACAAGCAAAGTATATATATAGATGCGCGAAAATATATTTAAAATTTCCAAACATTTTTGTTACTGTTTATATTGTACTGTACAAAGGGAAGACGCTCATAGATAGATCCACAATTCAATTAGTTAAATTAGAGGATGGGCGCGACGCGCCCTAAAAGCCTAGTTAGTATATAATATCATAAAAAATCCCTCATTTGTAGATATTTACAAACCTGCCAGTTTAGCTTCAGATCAGTTCTGAAGGAGAAATAGTAACAATATCTTCCATAGCAGAAACATGTTCCTTCATTTCTCTCGTAGAAGTAAACACTAGAACATTTACTTTTTTCTCTAGACAAACACGGTTAAAACGCCAAATGTAAAAAAACCTAATTACAGATAGAATAGACTCAGATTAAACCGAAAAAAAACAGACAGAGATTAAACAGATAGAATAGACACAGATTAAACAGAAAGGATAAACAAAGGCTAAACTGATAGAATAGACGCAGATAAAAGAGTGGAAAGACACAGACTAAACTGATAGAATATACACAGATTAAACAGATAGAATAAACAAATATTTAACTGATAGAATATACACAGATTAAACAGATAGAATAAACAAAAATTAGACTGATAGAATAGACAGCAATAAAAGAGTGGAAAGACACAAATTAAACTAATAGAATAGACACAGATTAAACAGATAGAAAGACACGATGATAGATTTAAAAGGAAACGGGGTAAATCGTTCCATTATTATGAATTTATTTCAAATTTTTTTTTTTTAAATATTCTTACAAAGGGAAAAGACTTTATAAATAAATTATACCTTGGATCTATGGTCTTGAGACAAGTTGGTGTAGTTGCCTTTAAACCACAAGTATGATTGAAAACCAATCTCTTATCAGTGTACTGAGAGTACACTCCTAAATAGTATGTTTTACAGGGTTACCCACAAAGGATTAGACTGTAAAGAACTATAAAATATGACGATTTGAAGCTTGATTTTTGGTTTCTGGATTTTCAATTGAGTATTTTGATTGTTTATGAAATCATGATTAAGCACAGAAAAAAGCCAGTTTAGGCCTTCAAGAAATCCTGAATGCAAAAAAAACCGGACTTAGCAAATTCGCCTGTGAAGTCTCATCCTTTCCGGGTATATTAGGACTTGGTAGTACACTTTACAAATCTTTTAGCAGTGTACTCAGAGTAAACTTTTAAATAGCTTGTAATGTATTAGAACACTTTACCATGCCTGGGTCTTGCTAAATGCACTGGGTTACCCACAAAAAATTAGACTTTAATGGCGACCTGGAAATATTTTTTGCTGTCGATCTAATGGATCGGTCTTTGCTTATAGTTTTTGATGGATATATTAAATGATTTGGCAAAGAAAACAAATACAGGGTGTCCCACGAAACATGACAGTATGCAGGACGACTTGAATGTCGTCTTGATTTTTGATATAATTTGCTGCGTTTATTTGTCAACCTAATTTTAGAAGTAAATTTCTAGAGATTATAATCACAAAATTTCCCTTGTCCTGCCATTTCCAAAATGTGGTCTGCCTTTTTTGTGCTTTCAATATTGCCCGAGATATGAAGAATTTCGTTCAGATTTCGACAATTTTGCTTTTATTTAACAAAATTGAAATCTGAACCAAACTCTTTATATCTCCAGTAATATTGAAAGCACAAAAAAACTCAGACCACTTTTTGGAAATGCCAGGGCTAGGAGAATTATGTGATAATTGTTGCAAGAATCATACATATTAAAGTAGATAGAAAACTAAATGTCACAAATAAATTCAAATACCAAAGACGACTTTCAAGTCGTCTTGCTATTGTCATGTTTCGTGGGAAACCCTGTAGCTTAAATTGTTATAGGGAAACATCAATTTAAGGACAGAGACTGAAAAAAAACCGTACAGTCGTCTTTGAAGGGTTGTTTGTGTGTAACCCAACTATCTCCACATTTAATTAAGACCATGGAGTAAAAAGTACAAAGATTTCAGATAGTTCATCATGAGTACAAAGATTTCAAATAGTTCATGAGTACAAAGATTTCAGATATTTCATGAGTACAAAGATTTCACATATTTCATGAGTACAAAGATTTCAGATAGTTCATGAGTACAAAGATTTTAGATAGTTCATGAGTACAAAGATTTTAGATAGTTCATGAGTACAAAGATGTCAGATAGTTCATGAGTACAAAGTTTTTAGATAGTTCATTGAGTACAAAGATTTCAGATAGTTCATGAGTACAAAGATTTCAAGGCGATTAGTACAGCTAGTAAGGAAAAAGTATCTAAATGTATTAATTCAAAACATTATTTATCTTGCCTGAAAATTGATCATTCCAGAACAATAAAAGGAAAAGAACAGAGATCATCTTTTACTTTATATAATTTCCAAGTTTTCAAAGCCAATAAAAGGTTGTGTGTTATGATGAAAACTCGACAAATTTTACTTTTTCTATCCTTAAGTTGGTTTTGTGAACTCCCTATCCATACACTATAGTACAACTGGCTACTAAGGCAAACATAAAGACTCAAAACAGTTTAGAGAAAGCCTAGCATTTATTATTTATATTAACTGATTGTGTACAAACTATTTACAGAGATTTCTTAGTTGTTTTAAAATACAATTTATATTCATGAAAGCAATTGAAAGATATTATTCAACCTTAATAATATTTATTTTAAGTAGATTTGAAGAATTGATTTTTAAATTTTTTTTAGTTTTGGACCCCTTCCCCTCTAAAGATTGATACATCTGACAAATTTAAGTCCTCTAGGTCTAAAAATTGTGATTTCATTTGATACAGGGTGTTCCACGAAACATGCAGTAGCAAGAAGAATTGAAGGGAGTCTTTGATCACTGAAATATTTTTCGACTTTTATTCGTAACCCTAATCCAAAATGTGGTCTGAATTTTGGTGCTTTTAACTTTCCGATTGTACGACAAATTTAAGGCTCCCAGGTCTAAAGACTGTGACCGCATTTGATATTAAGTATTTCTAAATGACTGTGAATGAAAACTTGTTATTTGACAAAATGTCGTCTTCTAGTTGTACGCCAGATATATGGCGATCTACAATCTACACACTAGTATTACACAATTCTAAAAATTTCGCTAAAAAAATTATGATTGGGTCGACTTGAAAGTATATTCAGGCCTTATTTAATGTTTTGACTTTTAAAGCTCTATTATACTTTTTGAAGCACATGGCCGGCAAGTTCCTTCAATTAAGGTAAAATATAATTTTGCTAATCTGTATCAGATAGTGCGTATTTAGTTCATATTAATATGTAGGTTTATGTGAATGTTCATACACATACTTTGTTGTTTTCACAGCTCTTTCTCTCATCATTAATTTTGAAATTTATTAGATTAACCAACTGTGTTTTTGAAAATAAATATTATATTTTATTGCCAAATTAAGGATCCAATTAATGTGGGTTAAAAATACAACTGTTGAACTACAGTAGACTATTTGAACAAATCTCAATTTTATTCATGATTTAGAAATAAAATTATGTATCCCTCCCATCGTCTCTTTTTTCTTTGTAGACAGGAATTAGGAAAGCTCCATTATAGCCAGAGTTAACCAGTTGAAATCCATTCCCATGAAAGGTTGCTCCAGCAATATGTAACCCAGTCTCTCTCCTTTCTCGTCTTAATTCTATCTCTCCGTCTTTATGATGTGGTTTTGCGAAAGCGCTATTTCCAAAAAAGTAGGGGTATCCAGAGTAAACGGGATGGGATCGTTTCTCATGTACAATTGCCTCAGCTATGTTAGACTCCGTTTCTCTTCTTTCTCGAACCAAATCAGTTTCTTCGTCTTTATGATGTGGTTTTGCGAAAGCACTATTTCCAAAAAAGTAGGGATATCCAGAGTAAACGGGATGTGACCGTTTCTCATTAACAGTTGCCTCAGCTATGTTAGACTCCGCATCTCTTCTCTCTCGAACCAAATCAGTTTCTCCGTCTTTATGATGTGGTTTTGCAAATATGCTATGTCCAAAGAAGTAAGGGTATCCGGAGTAAACGGGATGGGATCGTTTCTCATGAACAGTTGCCTCAGCTATGTTAGACTCCGTTTCTCTTCTCTCTCGAACCAAATCAGTTTCTCCGTCTTTATGATGTGGTTTTGCGAAAGCGCTATTTCCAAAAAAGTAGGGGTATCCAGAGTAAACGGGATGGGATCGTTTCTCATTGCTGGACGCATCAGCTATTGAACGTACCGCAAGGCGGTGAACTAGGATTGAAGATCCATCAGAGTTGAGAATGTACGCCTCAGTGGTCAGAACCACAAGGAGGATACTGAACTAAACAAAAACAGATTAAAACAGAATTAATCTAGAAATAGTTTAAATAACGACGGAAAAGGAAATTTTTAAGAAGTACACCAAAGCTATTTAAAGTTAAAACCATTGTCCACGGTAATCTCAGCGTAATTTCAAGGGACCCTCTCTGCAAAGATGACAATTCCAGATTTACAACGGTACCCCCAAAAGCTTTCCCTGAAAAAGGATTTATCCATATTTTTATTTTTATTTTAAAAAGCTGTTTATCTTCATTTATAGGTTAATTGCAAAAGTGACTTGCGCATTTCTTGCCTATAAGAAACAAAGGAGAAATTTTCAGAACTGAACACATTTTTCGAGTCAGAAAAACGACGTTATTTTCACATTTTTGATCAGTTTCAGTCTTTCAAGGGTACTGTTGTAAATCGGGAAATGTTATTTTTACAGCTACAGTCCCGTTATACATTTTAATTTATGAGTTAAAGGAACATCCTTTAAAGTTTACACACTTTACATTTCACTTTATTTTGTCAAAGGAATGAGTTTTTGCCACAAACTCAAATTTTGTAATCCTTATATCTTTGCAACCAGATGGTGTAAACCAATGATATTTCAAACTTAGACTATTTAATCTAACAGAATTCTTAGTTTGAAATATCAAAGGTCTACAACGTCGGGTTGCTAAGATAGGGGGGAAACAGTTAGAGTTTGTGGTAAAAACTCATTTCCTTAGCCAGAGAAATTATCTAGTAGTGTTCCAGATCTTAGATATTTCAAACTATAAATTCTGCTTGATCAAATAATTAAAGTTTTTAATAACCAAAAGTTTACACCCCTTGGTTGCAAAGATATAGATAATATAAGATCCCTTAAGACTTAATAAAAAGAACAAAATTCAATGCTGGAGAAATCTTGGAATGTATTGCTTTAAGTTAAAGTTATCAATATACCCAGGTTGTCATTGAAGGTTTTGGCTCAACTAGACTTGAATACTGTTACAGGAGCTTATATAGTATATAGATATACATCCTGGACCCGATTGGTTCTAACCAAACCAACCCTGATTCTTTTGATTGACAGAGGAAGTTTTTCAGCTTTTACTTAATATCTACATGGAAATTTTTTAATATACTTAAAAGTGCATAGTATTGGAGAGATTCAAAGGAATTTTTTACAAAATTTAATTTTCTAATCTTTGCAACCTAAAGTCGAAGTCGTTTAATAGTTCACACAGTGATTCTGAAAAAGAAAATAGTCAAGGTTTAAATATCGGGGGTTTGCACGAACAAGTTGGAGGAACAACGCAATCAAAAATTAGAGTTTGCGACAAGTATTCAGCTCTTTAAAATTTGTTGTGTATAGATGAGTGTTAAGAAATTGGGAATTCGAACAATTTGAAAAAAAGTTTTAAACTTTCGAAGTTTAGAACAATTGAGTCAACCTTAAAATGTTTAGATATGTCCAGGTTGAAATTAGCTTTAAATTATATAGGACATGGTTTTTCTGATTTTAACCTCTTTTATAATTTACTTCAAAATCCGTCTTCTTTCTAGAGCATGGCAAAGTTTCGTTAACGAAACGGAAGTTTTTGAAAATTAACGGAAGAGTCCAGTAACAATAACCCTTAGGCAGAAGCCCAAAAGAGTTAAAGAGAGTGATCGCGAAAAATGAAAGGGGGTAAAGGCTTACGGCGAAAAATAATCGCTTTTGATCGCTACTAATCTTACTTCTATCTGTCGCGTCCATACAAATTTAGAAAGTTTTAATATCCGACTCGTTTCGTAAAATAATGAATTTAATTTCAAACAAATCATTTAGATATTACAAACTATAGTCATCGATTATTTTTCGGCGCATTTGTATATAGTTAATATTTAATTTCGTTTTGTAAACAATGCACTTAAAACGCCTAAATAGTTGGCCGCCAGATGTCTCAGCTCTCGATTAGGGTTTCCAGCGAACAAAACGTTTCGCGAAAATAAGCAAAAAAAATTGAAAATTTTCGGTTGCGCTCACACAAACTTTTTTGCGAAATTTCGCGAAAAAAAATGTTGCATTTTTTCGCGAAACAGATTGAATCGAAATTTCGCGAAAAAGCGAAAATTTTTGCATTTTTCGCGAGCAAACGAAATGCAAAATGGTCGTGAAAATTTTTTATATTGCGAAATTTTCGCGAAACGATTTTTTCCTTTCGCTGAAAAGCCCACTCTCAATGCTTTGAATGATTACATGTGGCAGAAAAAGTCGGTTTAAGTGCATTGTATATAAAACAAATAACAAATATTGATGCTGTATAGTTTGCACTAATGTCCGATTGAACTAACGTACTTTTGCACTAAAGTCAGCTGATCAGTAACCGGTTTTTATTACGATCGAACATTAGTGCAAATGAATAAAAATCGGGGTTCTGTGTTCAATTGGACTAAAATTTTATTTTCCCGCCAGGAATATTTTAGTACAAATGATCATTAGTGCAATTAATCTGAAATACTAAAAATATTTGTTCAAGCTCACTAATTTTTTTTCTGTAAATATTAGTGCAATTGCAAAAGTTAGTGTAAATGAACATTTTTAACAAAAAATTTGTTCAAACGGACTAATTTTTGTTCTGTAAATATTAGTGCAAATGAACATGTCCAAAAAAAGTGTTCAAATGGACTAATTTTTCTTTTCTGTAAATATTAGTGCAATTGAACGTTAGTGCAAATTAACATGTCCAAAAAAGTGTTCAAATATGGACTAATTTTTCATTGCTGTAAATGTTAGTGCAATTGAACGTTAGTGCAAATGAACATGCCCCAAAAAAATTTATTCAAACGGACTAATTTTTTTTAATATTATTGCAATTGAACGTTAGTGCAAATGAACATGTTCATTTGTACTTTTACTATTTTATGGACAAATGGTGAAATTTTAGATTTTAGTTCGATCGAACATTTTTTTGTTCATTTGCACTAAATATGTACATTTGTACTAATAATATTTTATGGGCAAATGGTAAAATTTTAGATTTTAGTTCGATTGAACATATTTTTGTTCATTTGCACTAAAATATGTTCATTTGTACTAATAATATTTATGGGCAAATGGTAAAATTTTAGATTTTAGTTCGATTGAACATTTTTTGTGTTCATTTGCACTTATAAATATGTTCATTTGTACTAACATCTATTAATTACCGGAACTTTTAGCTTTAGTTCAATCGAACATTTTTTGTTCATTCCCACTACAATGTTCAATGGAACTAACTAATTAAATGAACCGAATATCGCTAGAATTTTAAAAAATAATTTTCCACATGCTTAAAAAACCTTCCACGTGGTTTTTAGTTTGATTGAACAATTAGTTGTTCAGTCTGAATGAAAGTTAGTGCGAATGTACGTTAGTCTGATCAATCATTAGTGCAAACGATACGACACCCAAATATTATGAAATATTACAATACAAATGCGTCGAAAAAAATCGATGACTTTAGGTTGTGCTTTCTGTATGATTTGTTTGAAAATAAATTGATTTTATTACGATACAAGTAGTATATTGCAACTTTTTGAATTTGTCTGGACGCTACGTTCTTCAGTATAAGTCGACGCGTATATACCAATTTTCTCCTTATAGACGCAACAGAGAGAAGTAAGATTAGTAGTGTTCAAAAGCGATTATTTTTCGCAGAAAGTCTATAACCTCATTAATTTTTCGCGATCACTCCCGGCCTTTAAGCGTATGCTGTCTCTCTGTCTTGTCATTCAACACAGCATGCGCGTAACTCATTGGGCTTCAGCCTAAGGGTTATTGTGAACGAAGAACCCCTAAATTTTGAAAAGACTACATCATGTGTTCTAACTGTATTTTAATTAATCAATGTTAAAAGTACTGTAAATACATTTGTAAGTGACACTCCATTATTGCCTGTTCAAGTATAAATTAAATATCTATGTTTCCGTTTATGAAAACTGATTATTTTCATTTGTACGTTCGTTTTGCTAACGGTATTTTTATTTTTCTGTAATTTATTAATCTATGACTTTTAAGATTAATCTCTAAATAAATCTTTATACAAAAATAAAAAGAACATTTACAAATCACCAAAATATTTTTGATAAATAAAATCGACGATTACGAATCCCCTGTTGATTTATTTCTTTTGTATATAAATTAATAATTTATAAATGTTTAATGCGCATTGGCCGAGTTAAAGGGAAACTCGACCCTCTGGTTTAACCAGGGCTATGTTTCTTTGAGGTTTATATAATTCCACAACCTTTTAAAAAAGTTTTCATTCACTACTTTTTCAAAACGCATCCGCTGACAAAAAAGTCGAACAAATTCAAAGGAATTGATTCTTTGCCATAAACTCTGCTTTTCTAAATCCTATATCTTTGGATTCCAATGTCGTAGACCTTAGATATTTCAAACTATGAATTCTGTTAGATCAAACAATTAGTTTGAAATATCAAAGATTTACGACATTATTGGGTTCCAAAGATATAGAGGTTATAAAATCAGAGTTTGTGGCAAAGACTCAATTTCTTTGGATTGAAAGTGACAGGTTACTTGGACAAGAAATGTCCCTAATGTTCTACAGCATTTTAACCAGAAAACAGAGGAAAGATTTTCGTCGTACATTTTTCTTGTAAATACAAAATGTTTTAGGCATTTATAATTGTTACAACTAATATACAACTAATATATCTATAAAAAAGTTTTAGGAGAAATTTTGAAAGGAAAAATTTACAAAATCTTAAGCTTCAAATCTTTTAAAAAAAAACATGAACAGCAATCATTCCACTGAAACTACAAATTAGCCATAAAAATTATGCTGATAGGTTACAACCGGTGGATTTTTAAAGATTTTTCAAAATATAATTAATGATTGTAAAGTCATATATGAGAAAAAATATGATTTGTATAAAGTGGGACAAAAGAAAAGAAGTTTTAAAAATTCAACTGTGTACATTCTACTTTATTTCGTAAAATATCTAAACCATTGTCTGTTTGTCTGGTTGTGCATAATAAACGATCGGCCCAATTTTATATATTTCTTCACATGACCCAAGAGAAGGTCGAAATTTTGCTTCAACAAAATTTCTTTTTTCAAAACTTTGGAACTTGTTTTTATACTTTCATAGAAACATTGTTGCTGGAAAATAATATTTAAAGATTTCTGTATTTTGAGTTTTCACAAAAAAAATCAGGTAAATCTGCAATAAAGTTAAAATAAATGATGTGCTGTTTAGATTATACTGGATTGTGTTGGTTTTGTCTGACTCTGAAAAGTAGAGCCAAACCAATACATAAAATCTCAAGAAATCTTTCCTTCTGTCATTAACTTGTTTAAGAATTCATCTGACAGCCTTGCATGCCCCGTTTCCTATCAATTACAAATTAGTCACTTAGCAATTTAAAACGTTGAAAAAGTACGTTAATTTTCATTATCTATATATTTATGTAATGGATGAGTAAAAAACCGGGATTATTGATGTTTTGGACAACATTTTAAAAAATATAGTTTATTTTATTTTTTAAAAATTTTATAAAAATTTATCAATGTAATGAAACAAAAACTGTAAACTAAGTAATTGCATTTTTGAAGAGATAACGGTTATATTTTCAGATATCATTTGATAAAATTAACTTAAAATTTACACTTAGAACTTTTTTGAGAATTTTTTGTGGCATCTCATGCACATGACCCAGGAGGGTTACTAGGAACTGAGTTCTGACCTACTAGGAACTGAGTTCTGATCTACTAGGAACTGAGTTCTGAGCTATAGGAACTGAGTTCTGACCTACTAGGAACTGACTTCTGACCTACTAGGAACTGAGTTCTGACCTACTAGGAACGCTGAATCTCTGAAGTCTCATCTGTTGTGGGTAACCTTTTATATGGCTGGTCGACTCAAAATGAAGTAATTTAGATAAAACATTTTTGTTATTGTTTTAATCCACCTAAGCAGAAAACTTGCGAATATTTTTTTTGAAATACTTAGAAAAAGGGCGGCTTCAATATTGAAAAAACATCTAAATGATAGAATTGTTGAT